ACCTTTCTATTCCATCTGGAATAAGGCCACACCAGTCACCGTACTCTCATTCTGTTTACTGTCATAGCGTGGCACTTAAGCATGAGATCCATTTTTCAGTGGAGGAATAAATATGCTGAACATGGTAAGTCAGGGCATGCAGGGCATAGCCGCTGCTGTAGTAATTAAAATTATCTGTTCTTCAAGGGGACACCAGTTTTTTCCAGAATATACACACCCATAGACTTCCAGCTACTCAATGACATTTAACAGGAAGACAGGATTTGCCTTTTCTGTTCCATTTGGATAAATAAAAACACAGTGATGACTAATAACAAAAACACATAGTTCTCAAATAGTTCTGCATTTAAAAGGAGAAATAAAGGACTCTGCAACTCAGACTAGTTTACTTTGGTTTCGTTTTAAGATTACTTTAACTTCTTTGTACTTATTATTACCTGCAATTTTAGCACAGATTCACATATGTACTGAAATGCCAAAGAATGTTAAAAGCTGCTGACTATTCGTTTGAACCAACAGCAGCCAAACTAATTACTGTCTCCTTATCCACCCCATTCACATGAGTGTCTCAGAGTGTCTGCAGGTTCTCTCTCATCCATCAGAGATCCAGCTTTATTTTAAAGTCCTTCTATACCCAGTTATAGTCCACAGATTAGAGATCAGGCTACACTTTGACCTGAATGCAGAATTCATGAGCTGCACTCTAAATACTCAAGAGCTAAGCCTCCACTGACTTTTTATGGCAGCAGGAAGAGAACTTGGAATATTTAAAAGGGTCCTACATGCTTCAATATGAAGTATCTGACAGTACATTTTAACTTTCTTCCTCTGAGTTGGATATTGCAAAAGGAGAATTACTGTACTTATAATCTGACAAAAATGGTAATGAATACACTGCTTAAAGGGTTGGCTCAATGAATATCTCCTCATACAATGTTATTAAAACACTCTATATCAACATATATTTGCATACATTTAATCGAATTTATATTCATTGACAAAAGTTGTACTCATTTAAAAAATAACTTAGACAAATCATGGAATGATTACATGTAATCATGTAAGTAAAAACAATAAAAAAATCACCTCTATATCAGAACTCTGCTGAAGATGTCCAGCCATAGGTCTTGCCTGTGTGAGTGTAAATTCTACACATCTAAACACACACAGTACCTGCTTATAATATGCGCATGTGCACCTTCATTTACCACTGGGAATCCTAGTAAAAAAATAAGATTTCATTTCAGATTGTCAAATGAGTGTTTCTTCTCCCTAAATATTGTTTCCACATCTTCTGGTTGCTGCAAATGGTAAGCCTACAGAATTGATTCTTAAGAGATCAGTTACCGTTTGTCTAATCAAGATATTCGTTCCAAGAAGGAGAAAGAAAAACCCCATGAAGGCTCATAACACATCGCTTTAAATTACATGCAAAAATAAAGGACATGTGCTCATGAACATTTATTAGACAGCACACACTTCGTCCTGTAACGAACAGTTTCAAAATATACAGCTGGTTGCAGATGTCTGATAAGGTGCTTTACTTATATTAACTCTTTCCATGGTAACCTCTGAGAAGAAACCTACACAGAGTGTTTAAGCTGAAGGAGGTGAAAGCTATCATTTTCTTGTCAGCAATTTAGTTGTTAATGTACTGTACATTCGCCCTTCTCCTTGTGTGGAATGTGGTGCCACCACAGTTTGTGCTGAATGTTTAAACAAACGTAGGAAACCAGAAAAAAAGGGTCAAAACATTACACATCCAGGTCAAACTTCTGGATGCAATTAACTTCAATTCCTGCAATTATCTGTGAGAAAGTCACTTTTTTCTTATTGGGTCATTTGCAGTTTGGTTCGGACTAACCATTTTCACCAACAAAGACTAGAAATAACATGGAACGAACACATTTCTTAATTTAAAAAGACACAACTAATTGAATTATAGCAATGAGAATTACTTTCTCATACAGACGTGTCGAATCAAAATACATCTGGTATCTCAGATTTATAAAACAAGTATTTCAGCAGTTGTATTGATCCATTTCGATTTGTATATATAATGTATATACTGTATGTACATGTATATACTTAGATAGTCCATATCACTGAGTGAAACATGTTTTCTACACTCTCAGATCTTATTCACTTCTAGCAGTTCACTATGTAATTCAGAAATGGAAATTTGAAAGGTTAATCTACACAATAATATGCCTCTATACATTAAAATATTTATATATATTCTCGATCGGGTACCCCCATTGTGAAGAATGCAATGCAAAAACACATTTTTTAGGACATGCATAACTTTCAAAAAACAAATAATTTGTTTCAAAGACAACATATGCACTGAAATACTTGTTATGCATGAATGAGTATGAATACTGCAGTATTTGCTGATAAGTTCTTAAAAACATAAAGCACCCTGTGGTTGAGTATAACAGGATTTCCCATCAGTAACAATTTTACCAGGAATACCAGGGGGCTCATTTTTTTAATTCTGGGAGAGGAGCTTTGGCAACTAACTTAAATAGCCTCACAAGTGCAAAATTATGACCACAAGCATCAGTTTTACTCAGTCTGGATACGAGTTGTCACAGCCAGAGCAAAACCCTGTTACAATAGGAATAACCTACCAAGTAACTACTTTATTTCATTAAGAAGGAGTTTAGCCTACAAATCCTATCTACACTTTTGGGAAAGTAGATTCCATCCATGGTTTTGGTTTTGCTCACTGCTTTTCAATGTGCCACTATCTTTATTTTCCATCTACATACTTGTCGATCCTTAACAGATGTCAAAGTAAATATCAGTAAAGCTTTTGTAACCTAAGAGAGTCTTTCCCGACTTAATCTCACAGATGGAAAGACATCAGACAGATAAGGGGGCAAATAAAACATCTTGAAAGCTTTTCTAATGCAAGCTTCATAACGGCTGCCATTCAGGAGAGGAGAGAGGATATGTGGGAGTTGATTGCCATGTGTACATGTACATCGGAATTCTTATTTATACCCATCTATCAGGACTTGCACAGTACAGCAGATGACACAGTACGACAGACAGCACCACACAATGTAGACAGTACATCACGAAACAGTACATAATAAATAGTGATAGTATTTACAGTCAATAAACAACCAGAATAATAAATACATGGTAGAGAAGAATAAATATGTCGTAGTGAACAAAAATACATCATAGTTCAAGTTAAAAGTACATAGTGCATAGTGGAGTAAGCAGTTTCAGTGTTCTCTGACTTTTCAATTGCCTGTAGCCATTTGTGGTTCCTGAGGCTGTTACAAAGTAAACATCTTCTTAAATGCACAATCACATCTGCACGCAACCTTAATACGCTGTACGAGACTGCTACATAGCCCTGAGCATTTTGATTACAGTAACTATTGCTGAAAGGTAATGGATTCCTTCCAGGAGTTTAGGTGACAGCAGAAGAGAAAATTACACCAGTTTGTACCTTAAGGACACCGAACGTGTATGCTAAAGTTCCCATAAAACAAGGATCACACTAAGCTGATTTGCTTCTGATGACTGGAAACAAGTTTTAAATGACAGCTTTCAAAGACATTAATTTTAATGTATTAGAGCTAAAGAAGGAATGCTACAGTCCAAGCTCCAAGCTGCTTTTATTCTTTTTAAAAAAAGCAGAGTGCTCAGTTATTTAGACATGTACAAAAAAAAGCTACAGGGTGGGAATCATTACTTGCCCTGTAATCCTATACTTGCAATAATGTTCTTAAGCTGTCAGTGTGTGTAATGTTTAATTGTAGCTAAGTAGCACCTGCGTCAAGAGCTTCCTCTCTCTAAACTTATCTGTGCTCTAGCTGATTATTCTGTAAGACTGCAATAAGGTAATCCTGCTTTAATGTAATGGTTCCTTTAGGAGGTGACTGACAATATTAGCCACCCTTGGCACTAAACTAATATCTATCTCCAACAAAATAATTTCCAGCACAGGTGTTAATATTCAGTAAGTAAATGCAATCCCCAGACATTTCTCTCCACTTAGTTTGAGGAGAAAATTACACATGTAATGATGACTGACAGCCGATCAAACAGGGCAACAGCAGTCACACAACTGCAAGACACCAACACTAACACTCATCTGCACAGTCAGGCCCAAGGTTTTACCACCAGAACTGAGGATTATTCATGGTTACTACTAATTTATTCCAACACTTCATAAAAAGCAGTTTGTCACAAAAAAACAAAATCACCAAAAAAACTGACATCTTAATTTTTATGAGACACTGCAGTTAATCAGTTTCCTGTGGGAAATGAGTGATGATGAGTGATTCCAATGCAAAGGCTATTACACCTACTCAGGTATTCACATAAATTGACTCAAATCCAAAAAAGGCTATAATGCAAAACCAATATAAAAATAATCCAGATCGACACCAAGCTTTCTAGAAACAGAGCTGGAAAACTCTGAATGAATCCTTAAAATAGAACGTTTTTTTTTAAACTTAAGACACAATAAAAAGTAGCAAAAACAGGAATCTCATTTCTCACTTCATACCAATAAAAATTGAGGTCATCGGTTATGCTGTTTCCTAACAGACTGATAAAATCAAATTTCTATTTGCTTAAAACACCTGACACAGTGACACAATGAAGCCTAAATGCAAAGAGGGTGTAAAGTGTAGTTTTAAAAAAGATAAAAGAAATAAGTTACTAGGGTGTACCCATCTCCCCTGTTTCTCATATTCTTCATATATTTAATGTCTTTGAGGAAATATGGCTTCTGTTTTTAATGAGGGTTTTTTTTCTAGGAGAAAAGTAAAAGTGCGTGCGAGGGATTACTTCTGGGTGATTGCAAATTGAAAAAGTGGAGCGGAGTCTATTTGTGTGACAAAGTGCTGTGAATGACTGCAGCCACTCCGCTAGCACACCCTTTGCAAAACAGGTTTATTTGCTGAAGCTGGAGAGGAGCTCTGACTTACACTAGGCCTGCCCCCAAGGGCAGAACAAATGAACTGCCTTACCTTTAATGCACAGTGGTCTGGCTTGTGTTAATTCCTTTCTTGGCTTGGGCTGCCCCTGCAGACGTCTGGCTTCCAAGTACTGCTTGACTCTCTGATCAACTGCGTCTTTGAGAAGCACACTGACCTCCTGAAGAATTATTACAAAAATAAACGAACACACGATTTGCAAAAGGTTCTCTCAGATCTCCAAATTACAGTTCACTAAAGTAGATATAATCATCATGCTTATCCTGCTTGTTGAACCACATTTTATTTTTATCCACCGATCCACAGTATGATATGAAAGTTTTCAAATATTTTAGAACCTGCTTTTGCATGGATGAGACACAGCCCTCTGGTATAAATTATGCCACAACTCAAATTCCCATCTCAAAGCAGACAGATATCAGCCTTTTACTAAACTGTGTCTAATTAGGCAGTAAAGACACACAGAGTGACATAAGGCCCTGGTAATATTTAAAATAGGCTCATACAAAAGGCAAACATAAAGTGACCTGGGAAAAATGGAACAAATCATGGGTCCTATAAAAGTCCCATTTGAATTGTTAAGAGCTGGGGGTGAGGTGAAGGGGGTGAGATTATAGTTAGGCTCTTCGCAACAATGAAAACAGAGATCCAAGTACGTCATTGTAGTCTTGATTCCTCCCTGCAGCTAAGCGCTTTTGAAGTTGGCAGCACTTTTTTGTTGTACCTCCTTGTGCTGCTCAGCAAACCAGCTGGTGTCTTCGCTGGAGCCCAGGGGCAGAATATGAAGATCCACCAGCACAACGAAATTCCCACACTGCAAAACAAAAGAGGACAGCCACAGGTTGTTGTGAAGCGCACGGCCTGCAGACAATAAAGGAAATCACCATGAGTGAGCCACTCTAGGCCCCGGCCTTCACAGCATCGCATTAACCCAGAGCAGCAGTCCTGTCCTCCTCACCCCTCTTTCTGCAGGCTGCACTGAGGACAGGCATGTCACGGTGAACCAAGAGATTCATCATGACTCAGAATAAAATGTCATCAAAAGGGAGGATATAAACCACAACTAACATTCTGGAGTCAGACTTCTCCAAACTCCACTGTTAAGTGGTGAATAAATCAGCCTTTTCTTTCTGTTACTGAGCACCGAATATGCTTGTGTAGACACAAAATCCTACACACAAATCTTACACAAAGCAAAATTTTCCAGATTAGTGCACAGTCAAAACCACGTTTCTGTCTTCTTTTTGTGGGGAGGTTAGGAGGAAAGGAGGGAAGGCAGGAATACTTTTATACCATTACTGTAACATAATGAGATCAAATATCTTGCCAAGGTGTCAAAGTAACTGAACTGCACTTCAACCTGTACCAGTAAGTAATGTGTTTCTTAGTCTAACCTGAAGACTGTGTAAAATAATTAAATGTCACTTTTCATAACAGATTCAGACAGCTCCTTGCTTCCAAAAAAAAACTTTCAAAAAAGACAGTCAGATTATTTTAATCTTCCTCCCTTCCAAAGGCTGTTTGAAAATAAGATGGAGTGTATCCCAGATAAAATAAAAGCTAACAGGTGGTATTGTATACTCACACACAATACTCAGGTAGTGTGTGATAAGCAAGTCTATTCTACACAATACGTATCACAGCGGCATACTATAAACCTACAATCACACTCCATAGCAACTGAAATCTGCTATAGTAAGTGCTCTTTCTCACACAAGACTTGAATTGTATTTGAAAAGACATGACCTCAAATATATATATGTATGTATGTATGTATGTACAGCTACACAGTACAAAATGCTGCATTGTAATGGAGGAGCACTTTATAAATAACACTGTATGTATTTTATTTAATAAATATTTCCTCAGGGTAGAATACATTATCACAAGTTAAACTTTCTGAAGACCTGGATCACTGAGTCACCAACACTAAGTGACACGAAGAACAGATGCCAATAATGTCACAGCCATTAATGTTATTCATTCAGTTTATATGTTGTGATACTTACATCTTCAATCGCAAGTGTGTTGTCATTACAATTGTTGAAAAAATCTATGATTTGCATGAATACAAGAATTATACAGTAGGTTTACAGTATGAAGAAATGTGTATTCATGGAGCAGGTGAGATCACTGAGTGTCAACAAAGTCATTTTGTTTTAGTTAAAAAGCAGTACACTTTTATAACATACCAGGACAACAAGGAAGGACAACCAAAAACCTATGTTCTTGTCCTTCTGATATCTTTAGTTTTTGCAGTTCCACTGGTTTTCAATACCATGCAAAAGATGCAGTAAAGAGAATTATTTTTCTTTCATTACAATGAAGCAGAAATCCAATCCAATCAATTACAAAGGCTTTAATGGGAAGAAAATCCATAGTAATACATCACAGTTGTGCCTTACATTACCTCTTTCAGTTCACAAATAATTTGTTTAAAAACATAGCCGATACTATGACCACCCTCCCCCTCAGAATTATTATATTTTCATGGAACATGAAAGAAAGGAAAAAAATCAATCATTAAAACACATGAACTGCCAGAACCCACCAAAAAAAACTGGTGCTTAAGTCCAGCAAAAGTAGTGTGCAGCCTGTCTCATTAAACATATTCTACTGGCTGGGAAGCTGGCCTTTAAATTTCTGATGACTAAACCATGAAAAACAACACCTTTATCCTATGTAGGCAGCTGTGGGAGGGGGGGAATTCCTCCAAGCAGAAAGCTTCCCAAAATTCTCACGTCTTCAGGTCTAAAGCATAAGATGGTGTATGCCAACTTTGTGCTCTAGAGGACAAGCTCACGGACGCATTAATCCATTAGATCATTACGGTGAAAGATAAATGTGTGAAAATGTTTGGTTTTTCTAGCTATAAACACATCTCTATAAACGGCTGTATTTGCTTCCATTCCGAATTCACCATTCCCTTTCCAAAGCACAGACAATTCCACACATGCACAGCTCCCCCTTGTGGTCGAGACCCACAACTTCAGGTCATGCAGAATTGCATCCTTTTCAAACGCTCATTATTCAGGAAACCCCAGTTCAGTGATAATCATGGAAGACTGACTGGTTGAAAGCAATAACTAGATCATTCTTATAATTTTTCAACTTCCTAAAAATCCGAAAAATAGGCCTTCCAGACGTGTGTGTTTCACTAGTACAATGTATTGTTAAATCTCTCCATGAAGAGATTTTTTCAGCTCGCTTGTTCTCCCTTGTCTTTGTCATGTCAGATGTCTCATGGCTATCTGCTGCTGACCAGTTGTTTCAGTTGAGTGGGTCTGAAAATTACAATGTCGTGGGAAAGGAGAAAGGAGAGTGACTGAGCCTGTCAGTCAATCTGTGAAATGCTGACAATCGGGTTCCGTGATGCTTCTGGCTTTGTGCCTACAGCATAATTAAGTTATTTTTTTTAAAGTAAGGTTTTATTCTAATAATCTAAAGATGTAAAAATGTTCCCTGATTCTGTAACCTGCAAAAGGTAACAACAAACATCCATTTTCTCAAAGGAACCCTATTAAACTGAATGCGGTTTTAAAGAAATGGGTTGATATGCCTGGTGCTGTTCTGTTTAGTGGATTCTGAAGTCAGGATGTGGAAATAAAATAGGATCAAAGGTATTTAAATATCCTGGTATACAATAGCTCACTGTCTGATTTTCAGTAGCAATGATGCATGTTGCTACTAGACTGAAAAGGTGCAAACAGTGTCAGCGAAATTGCACTAGCTTTGTTTGAACTGAACAGATCCAACTCATTACAGGAGCTAACCTGTAGGCTGATGAAATCTCTAGAACACGTCTATTGATTCAATTTATAATTTGGGAAGGATCCAAACAGCAACTGTTGGAAATGATTCTTTTTCTCACATCCTCACAGCGACGGGGAAGACTGAAATTTATACACAAGCTGTAGCACTACATGATGGCCTGTTCACACACGGTCTGTGATTTGGTTTACTATTCAGGAGAGGTTCTTTCTAATGTGTTTGTCAAAATAAACTTTGAAATTACAGAACTATTTTTTTTTTAGGACTAGATGAGAACAATAAGATCAGCATTTTATTTTGAAGCAAGGTATGGATAGATACAGTCCTAATACCGAAAAAGTGGAAATGATTTTATGTGAACTCACACATCACTAAATATGAGTATTGTCAGTCTAGGGCAACACTCAATGAATTGCAGCTGACCAATGAATGAGTCACCATGCCAAGCACACAGCTGCAAAAGTAGTATTTGTACCCATTCTTTAACAATGTGATTGATTACATGTAATTAATAGCATTAGTTATTCGGTCTTACTATTAACATTATTATTAATAATCAATATTCGCATCTTTTATAACAGTTTTCACTGTTACTGAAAACTGACTGTTGGGCTTTCTAATGAATAACTTTTGAAATAACTTATTTTAACTATAATGCTTATAGTTGATATAGTTTAGTATACTGTATATACACATATATATTTAGTATATAGTATAGTTTATATATGAATGTTACAAAACATATAATTGTTTGTTTACACAGTGCAGTGTGATTCTAGGAATTGGTGATAATGTAAATGAACACAGCATGTAAAAGCATATACTATATTATAGACTGTGTCTATTGGCATTAATTTTTTTTCCTATTCAGAAAGTATCCCAACAGCCAATGAAAACAAAATACACAATGCAAAATATGGGGGTCAACAGAACCTCTTTTTTGCCTTTGCATAAATAATACCATCTATTCTGTAGAATTTCATCCTGACTTGGCAACTAGTGCGATATAGTGCTTGGAGACACATTTGGCAGATAAGGCAGGAATGATATAGTTTTCTGTCTTGACCCTCAGCAGCTCTGAAACATGGTTTGCCTTCAAACTAGCCAGAAGGTGTCTATCATTCAGTCCCTGAGGTCATATATTACAAACCACTGACCTCCACCAGGCAGATCTCTTCTCTGCACTACTCAAGAGCTTTGCCTTTGGCTATACCCACATCACTTTGGGTGGCCATTCTCAGGGATTCAAGGACTCAATACTTTATTGCCATGTTAACAAAGCGCTGCCAAGATAAAAACAACAGAAAAAACAATTTTACACTATTTACACTAGCCCACATCACATTATTCAGTCAGTCTCAGACTCAAAAGTTTAAAATAAAAAAAATCTAAAGGACTTTATTCAGTTCCATAAGATGCTTGTATCAACCAAGATCTACATATTGACTAATGGATTAATGGTCTCTAGTTAGGAGCTTTTTCAGAACATTCAGAACATTTTTTCAGACAACATTGGTTTCCAACTATAAACCAAGAACCTCAGACCCAAAGAATACTCAATATGAGACAGCAAACGCATCTTAAAAAAAACAAAATATATACATAACTACTTCTAGTCTACATTTTCATTGTCACTGCCTTGATTGACACTTTAACACATCTTCATGCTTAATATCAGGATTTTTTGAACCAACGCTAGATAGTTTGTGTAGCCTACTAGTAGACAACTCATCACAATTAGCACAGGCTCCAGATGCCTAAATTCAGTGTCTTTGTATTCTGTGGCACACAGTATGGAAATGGATTCTTCCCTGAACTCGGCTGTTGATGATCACAAAACCAATGTTCCTCTTAAGAGTACTGTGACTCACAGAACTCTCTGAGCTCTTGGCTTTTCAGAAATATCCGATTTAAGCCACTGAGCTAACCACACACTTATTTCCTTGCATGAGTCTGGAATCCAGTCTCACTCTTTGGAAGGTAAGAAGGAGTGGAGCAGTGGGAGTGTCTGGCAGAGAGAACTAGATCACAAGAGTACGATTT